AAAAGTTATAACGCTTTTGCTAAGAGCTACATTTTGCCCCTTGTCACGCAATAACTCGGCAGTGCTTCAACGTTTCGATTTCAAATTCTTAGCATAAGCTCGTAGGACAGTAAGCATTAGTCACTGAAAGCGCCATCGAAATCGGATGTAATATAAAAAAGTTTTTTCCTGAGGGGGGGCCCCCTTAACAGTTGGTGAGCACTTTCGGGTGAGCAAATACGTAAAGTCATGAAGAAAAATGGTACTGTAAAATTCAGTTATATTTTCGGTGCTAGATTCACACTTCCATAGTCAAATTTTCTAAGACGCTTGTCTCAACAAAACGCGAAAAACGTTTTTTTCCACTGTGTTCAAAAGCGATTTTTCCAAACAAAAAAGGAATTTGCACAGATTTCTATTATGGTATAATCCACAGAGAGCATCCAAATAATTATGAATCTTTTCATTTATCATTTGTCCGGTTTGCGTAGACCTTCCCTCTTTCCGTATCTACATGTACCTTATAGATGAACGCATACCTTATCTTCAAAATCGCTCAGACGGAAAAAAATGCGTGTTTTGCACGACCCTTAGTTTCTTACCTCGTCCTCTATGGTGTGAGTCTGGATTTAAACAATATTTCTGCCTAAGCTACGAACTTTTTTCGGAAGGTCAAAGTGAACTGCAATCGTAAAGTAGTTGTTTTTCAGTAACTATTTGAGATCATCAACATTCGATGAAACGTCAAACTACAAAAGTTCGTTTCTACGCGTTTTGAGGTAAACGTGTTTACTTTATTTCGCGTTTTGGTCAGACAAGTCATCTAGAAAATTTGGCAAGAGGCTATTAACTTATTTATATACATCTATGACAACAAAACAAAAGAATGAATGAAAGTAGAGTCATCAGTTCCCTTTCGAATCTCAAGTAAGACTTTCGACCATCTTATTAAGATCTTAAAATATAAGATCTTAGTACGATATTTGTAAGAAGTGTTGAGGATCTTACTTAGGGATACTCCTATATAGCAAGAACTGTTTTTGTTACTCACTTGTTCAACAGATAAAGTTTCTCTTTTTCAATTTGAATAAAGCAATAAAGATAGAAGCTCTCTTTCTTTCACATGATGAAAGAAAAAAAAGAAAAATGGGAACATTGGTCTTACAAATCGGTTACAGTTATTGCTATTTTGTTTTTTTATTTTATAACTCTTCTAGTGGTGCCAGATGTAAGCATGAGACGTATCGAGCTTATTTTCTGAAAAAGAAAGAAACAGTAGTGCTCATTAATGGCTGATGAAATACAAACACGTTTTTCTATAGCCACTTTTAAAAAAAACTGTGCCATAAGTGAAGAAAAAGACATGCTATCATTTAACAATTTGAAAGATCAGTTCTAGAATAGAAAAACACACGGAGAAATTTGTCATTAACATTCTTTTTGTACATTTTAGTAGAGTCATTCACTTGATAACAATGAGAAATCTGGGACACACTACTTATTCAGACCACGATCTGTGAGAGCGATAAAATTAAATTTTATCAATTATTTTGTTCTGTTACTAACGTATAAGATAGTTTTTAAACTCTCTGTTGTAGACGTTATTCGTTTATTGCTACCGTTAAGCTTATTCAAATTGAATTCAGACATTAATTATTAATAACGTTCTGTGCTTTACTCGACAGATCAACCATTTTATGTGTCTTAGAAACTCAGTTTTTAGATGGAAGAAATTGCTCGAACATTTATGCAGCCGAATTTCTTTTATAAGATGCTTCTAGTGACAAGATAAAGTCACGATCATAGCATTTTTACAAGATCATATATTGTGTATATGATAAAAATGCACAAATATTTCTAAATATTCTATTGTTATGTTGGGACACAATGACAATCATTAAAAATGAATTATAAATCCGTTGATGTCAAATAATTACACTTTGTAAATTAGTTTAAAACATTTCGATATTCTAATCGAAACAATTTACTTATGCCTTTCAGGGATGTTTCTGGAAATACGAAAAGCTTCAGACACTTTTTCAGTTGTTTTGTCTGCTGAACCATTCATTCATCGGCTACCCATAACCAAACCATGTGACGTAGCACCCTCTATAAAATTCAATTTTTATCATGAAGTTTAAACAAATCTGCATATTTAATTGGAATATCTGAGTTTATACTATTTATCTGGTATGTAATTACGTTAACATTTATGCCATATTCTTCTTGTTTTTTGATTGGTTCATCCGACGGCCATTTTCTCATGTTTTACTGACACATGCATATACACAATTAATTTTCTAGACCCTTGAAATGATCATTTTTTACTACCTGACGGTACTAGTAAAAGAGTATAGTATTGATGAATTATGATAACAGTTATTCGTAGCATCATTTCTCTCTTAGTCTGCCGCTTTCTTCTCTAAGAGTTTAACACTATTGTCTTTTATAAATTATTAAAACGATGTTATTTCTAAAAGAACTTTTTTTCCTTATTGTGATAGAATTAACCGATACATATATACAGTAGTTATAATTCATTAGAAAAACATCTTTTTAATATGTTTTGTGTTTATATGATTGATAATAAAAAAATATTTTTATGAAATATCAAATGGAAACATTTCTTATTTTCATCATATCTCTAAAAATACGTAGTGCACAATGCGACTATTCCTTTTATTCAAAACTCTTTCAGTTTATATTTCATTTTGTTTCGTTTTCTTATTTACGATGATTTGTCAACAAAAAATAATCATTAGGATAACTCGATTGTAATAGGAATAAAGCAAAGTGTTAGTTCACTCATAAATTTCACATTGATGGACATATTTCCTTCATTCTAGCTAATGGAAAAGGAAATTAGATGTCTGATTACTTTTTTATGGCCACGCTTAGCATACATTAACAGCTATAATACAAAAACAGCTTTACTTCAGTATCTCTCCCAGTAAAGCGTTTCTCAGTTAAGAATTTATATTTGTTATTTTTTTGCTTATTTTTTTAAAAAAATTTTTTACTACTTCTGGTTCCAGCCTCAGTTGTCTTCTTTATTTTGTTATTTTTTATTAGTCTTTTGGTGTGGTTTGGCTTGAGTCATTATTATTACAGATCGGGAACCTTCTCTCACTTTTCGTGAATAAAACAGTCTTAGTCTCATTGGTCATCTTTCTTCTTATATCCTTTTCCGCCTAATATAACCATACATTTTTTTATTATTCATTTTTTATTAAAGATTTTGGTTAAGATTTGGTTATTAAAGATAAATTGGATAACTATGGATTAAGAAAGAGATATTTAATACATACGAGTCTGTAGTGGCCAATCTTCAGAACACAAATTCAGATTTCTGATTTAATAATACCAAGGACAACAAACACAGTCAGAATGACAAATGACTATTCATTTTTGAAAGATCATTCATATTCACTACCACCATCCAATGGTTGCGATGAGAAGACAAAACCACCACAACGCTTACGTATGTATTTCGCACTCAACGTCTACCTTTAGATCATGTAAACATTTTATTTCAGAAAGAGGCTAGAAATTGGGTTGATCTGTTAAATAAATACATCATTAATATACTTGAGATCGAGTCCATTGTCTATCTCAAATGTATTAACAAAGTTTTCAGTGAATCGATATTCATACGGTCTGAGGTTTATATTACGCCCAAGTTTATCTTTAACTCTGCGAAAGAGTATTCACTCAAATTTCATTGTAAGGGAAGTTCTGTCAATCATTTCATAAGAGGGAAACTTCAGAATAAGTTTGTTATATAAATATATCCTTTTTACAATCGGAGAAAACTTTCGAACCGTTTACGAGTAGTAAAGCAACATATTGAACCTCATAGTTAATGATTAATAGCTGTATCATTATTTTTTACTTCAAAAAATCCTGTTTTTTTCTAGGTCGTCAAATAAAATCGGCGGTTTCCACGTCCTCGTCGTTCCGTTCAATGTCCGTCGATCGTAATTCAAGTGATAAAGAGAATACTTCATTATCATTCTTAACGACATCAGCAGCAACAAACAATAATTCCGATCCTACTCCTGTTACTGCAAGAAGCAAACGTATACGATCGTCTAATCGTACTCCCAGTTCAATAGCATATTTGGACAACGAACATTTGACACCAAATAAAAGACAACGAAATAAATCTTCAACACTATCATCAAATAATAAAAAAAATATTCAAACAAGAGCATCAACCCGAATAATAACATCAAAACCAAATATTAGTCGTGATTATTATCGTCAACGACACAATTCACCGCGTAAAAAAGTAAAAACAACAATATCAAAAGTAGACAAACAGCAGCCAACTCCAACAGGAATAACAAATAAAAAGAAATCCGGCAATAATGAGAATAATCAAAATTGGACGAAAATATTAGGTTTCAAACCGGATGATCCTAGTTCACCATCATTATCCATTGAAGAAAGGGTTAAACTAAGGTAAATAATAATAGGAATCAATGGAAGAACGAATTGAATGAACAGAGTGAGCAAAGTTGCGGCAGTCTTCTGCTTAAGTTTATTTCAAAAATCTATTTTAGTTTGATAGTAGTGGGGTAGTCAGGATTTTGTTCGACGAGAGAGTGCGTTGTCTGAGATTTTTTCAAAGAGAAGAAATTCCACTGTTTTTGATGCTACGCTTCTTCTTGAGTAGTAAGCGTATATTTTGAAACACACAAATCGAGAAGATCTTGATCTTTCATAAACATTTGATTAAAATATTGTTTATTTAACAAACTTACATACATAATCAATCGATTATAAAATACTAGCTCAGAGTGGTTTTATTTAGACATATAACATCATCAGCTGTAGAACATAAACTTCTAAAAACCTCATCATTATCATCCGTTAATCATACTAGATCAAATATTTTATCAACAAATGATTTTCAAAAACAAACAACCGAAAACAAACAAAAACAAAAAAATTCTACTGGTGATCTTCATTCACATTTATCAAGATCAAATGCGAGTGTTAATCAAGATTTAAAACAAATTAGACAAGCCATGGCAAATATTACGGTTACAAAACAATCAAATCAACAATTGAAAAAACGAAAATCAACACGACCTGTTCTCGTAACAACATCATCAACCGTATTATCTAAAAAGCAACGATCAAGTAAAGGGAAAAAAAGTATGCATGATAAACAAATGATTGTAGAGGAAGTACCACCTAGGGTAACAACAACATCAACAAAGTTATTTCTTAGTTCTGGACTTGATTTAAACAATATTATACTAGGAAATAGAGAAAGACGTTCAACTGGTAATGGAAGTGATTAAATAATACGTAAGTCATAAACGCGATTGTTTTTGTTGCTATTACATTAAATTTGAACATTAATTATCATTAGACTTGGAGTATATATAGATCAATTATTTTTCTGACTTTTTTCGAGCATTCAGAATAGTTGTTATAGTACGGTTATTAAGAAGATTTGCGAAACGTCTCATTTTATAGAGAAGTGTTTGGTCAATCTTTTGGCGCCGAATAATAAAAGGAAAATATAAATGAGAAGTAATCATCATGTACAGTTATAGTGTTCAGGATTGCTCATGTTTGTGTCATAATTTCGTTTAAACTTTTTTTCTTCCAACAGATATGTAGAGCAAACATTTCTCTACAAAATGAGACGTTTCGTAGCTTGCGGTAATTCTTGACAACCGCACTACAACAATTTCTCTGATATCAGTCTATGTCTATTTATCATATACAACAAATTGTATGGTATTTTTGATTTCTGATGATAAAAGCATATACGTCTGAAAAGGCTTTTTTTCTGCTCTTCTAACGAGGGGACTTTGCGAACTGTCACATCGCTTTTTCAGCCAAACCTAGTGGGATTATATGTTATCTACTATGCTGAATCCAAATATCATAGTGGTAGCCGGAGTATTCAGAGAGCGGTTTTCTAGAAAACCAGTTTTTCAGAAACTCTGAAAAGTAACCGAAACCTTTCTTAATGAGGCATGATGGTAGCCCGCACATTTCTGATTAAAATCAGACATCTCCCAGCTGGTTTTCCAGAAAACCGCTCTCTGAATACCCTAGCTACCACTATGATATTCGGATTCAGCATAGTTGATAACCTATAACCCCACTAGATTTGGCTGAAAAAGCGATGTGACAGTTCGCAAGGTCCTCTTGTAAGTTCATATTTCGTAATTCTATCTCATCTTTTTATCGCAAGCATTTCAGGACAAATTCAGTTTAAATAGCATACTAGACGTACGATTTGTTGTTGATACTTACCATTAAATGAGTTAAATGACACTAAAAATTGATTGAACATATATGTTATTGTGTATCTTTTCAGTTATGCACTTCCGACGTACGTGCTAAGAAATTTTCGGTTTATAATTTAGTTCTGTAGTATGGTCAGATACAAAGTGCATGCTTCTCGGTTGTGACTCAAGTTAAGCAGTGTCAAAATGTCATTCGCATTGTTTGATTATTTTAGTTTTCTGTTTAGGATGGTTTGTAAGATGCAAGAAAAGAACATTTATGTACAGATACATCTCGAGTTAAAAATAAAACAAGCAATCGAACTCTTTGTTCTTTTTATATACTGTACAAACTTTTTCCTCTTCTGTTGTTCATATCTTGGTGCCATGGGTTTTTGTTCATGCAATATGTGGAGCTCTTTTTTTTTGTTGAACTAGGTTTATGTGTTCCAGATATTTCATCTTTTCGTTGGAAATGTCCGTTTTCCGTCTCAAATTATTATTTTTTATTTTATTAAGCATATTTTTTTTATACTCTCGTTACTTTTTTTTTAGTTTTCATTTGATTCTCTCGTAGTATTATTATTATTTTTATTTTTGTCATTATGGATTTATATATGATCTCTTCGCTCATTTTGTTACCTAAGATGGGGCATGATCTAGTATTTGTGACATATTGTACATATTTGCTCTTGTTCGAAATAGTCTATTGTTGTCATACTTTGGTTTTTCTTTATTTCATCAGTGTTTGCTTTCATTTTTCCATATGAAATTAACAACAAAGGCTATGGAGGTAGCGGTTATTTGTTTTGTTGAATAGAATAAAAGTGTAGAACTTTCTGATATGATCATTTTTTCTACATCATTTATAACTCTCAAAAAAAAGTTCAAATACTAGCTGTCGCTTTTCGAATAGTCTTTCCGAGGTTTCCATGGATATCAATACATAATAAGCGATCAATTTCATTGAATATTTAGAGAGACACATAAGCGGCTGGCTTAACAAACAAATAGAAGTCTCATTAGTCATAGGAGAATATACGTGTAAAAATTTTCTTCATTATTTACCAATGTCAAAATCTATGAAGATGGACTAAAGTGAACCAAGACAATGCTGGTTGATTATAAATGATGTGATGGATGCGTGAAGAAACAGGTTGATTTAGAAGTGATAACTTCAAGCAATTGATATTACCAACATTTATCACGCAGAAACTAGCGCTTGGTTACATGTTCTAACAGTCACTGTGTTAAAAAATAATAAACTTTATTCCGTATAAACATCACCTATGGCTCATCCAGACTCTTGGAACTAATGACTGATCGGGAGCTCTCTACAACGACTAAGTTCGATAACGTAAAAAGTAAATTGAATTATCCAGTTTTAACTTCCAGCAGGATTTATGTCCTTCTATATTGTTGAACCGATTTGTATTTTGAGAACTGAGTCCATTTTTGTTCTACTCAATCTACTTTTGATTGGTTTATCTCTTGACTATCATGACAAATACGACAACAACTGGGAAGGGTTCCATTTCAGTTACAATCCAAAAACCGCACCAGCTTTTGCATACTGAAAGTGATGTTGATAGAAGGAAAGTGTACGACACGATACGAACAGTGCATACAACTGCAAGAAAAGGACAAATGCTAAGCTAACTATCGGGTATCCAGGATTAAATGAGTCTCTTTTTATTTTCATTACAACTTTTGTTTTGTTACGTTCCCCCGTCTTTGCTTTTTAAAAGATGCGCTTTGAGCTGCTCTACAAAAAACATACTGAACATATTTCTGTAAATCTCAAAATAAAAAATGGAGCAATACTATGAAACTGGAATCAAAATGGATGTTTTGGTGCTTCGACGTGTCGCCTTTCTTTTCGTGTATCATAGGTTCGATTAAGATCAATTTTTGTGATACAACATACGATTTTAGTAAAATTTACGAAAAAAAAGGTAAAAATTTGACTCTTCCGCCTTGAGAATGCAAAATAAATGGAGCTATTGAACTTTCTCTGTTGGATATAACAAAAACTATTTTGCTTAACATAAAACAACCCCGACCTCAAAATGTTTGATTCTGACTGAGTTATAAAAACTTTCATAAATGTTCAAAAGAGTAGTTTGAAAATGATGACTTCTGACAAAATCGTTAAAAGAAAAAAGATTCTCCTCAATCTCTTGTGATTATAAAAAATTTTAAAATATAGTCAGTTGAAGAGCTAAAAAATAGCTACCTTCTCTTTTTTATGTCGCAACATATAAAGGACTAAAATTGGAAATATTCTTTTTTGGGTTATAAAGTACTGGAGATTGAAGCTTCACAGTATTTGCTCCATTTTTTATTTTTAAGATTTACAGAAATATGTTCAGTATATTTTTTGCAAAGCAGCTCAAAGCTCATCTTTTAAAATGCAAAGACTGAGGAACGTAACAAAACAAAATTTATAATGAAAATAAAAAGAGACTCATTTAATCCTGAATACCCAGTGACGGGTCGAGTCATTATGTAGTACTTGCGGCCGCACGTACCTCTGGAGCCGAAAAATTATTTCTTCCGAGCAAAACTGTCTCAGAAAAAAATTTCTATGACGACCGCACGTTTACCTAGATCCGGTACGGTGGACACCCGATATATACGACCTTAACATGCTGTAAGAACTTGTTATGATTATGAAAAAATCATTTAAATGCAAATTGGTATCATAAATGATCGCCTAGTGACATCTCGAACAATTTCATTGTTCCAAACTCACTATTTTATTTGTTTATTCATCCAATCAGCATTTTTTGACGGTAACCGATTTATTCAATGGTTAGTTTTCTCCTTCTGACAGGTAAACGAAAAAATGTGACTTATTTCCTCGAATTTAGATTAGGTCGCGTTGTTAAAGTTATTTGGAAATTCTGGTCACGTGGTAAAGATTGCTCTGCAGATGATATTTATCGCTCTTTACATAAAAGAAGATAAATAATTTCACTATTGTTCGCACACACAAAAGTGCACAAAATGTGTTCAATGCAAATTAGTTAAACTGGAAACGATTTTGTTTTATACTGCTCGTTTTCTTCATTACTAACATAAGGGAGAAGAATGAGTTCCTTCGATTGCTGAGCTATTCCACTTATTAACAAATCCATCTTTTTATCTGAACATTGATTATCTTTACTTTTTGATATTCAACCATTCAGTTTGTGTTCAATTAACGACCCAGTTGAATTATCGAGTTCTGATTATATAAGACTCATTCTAGTTTGATTTAATTGTTTTGCCTAGTAATGGAACAGATAGTGCTGTTTCTTTTCCAGTTCAGATAATGATGAAGGGAATTTACTGATTTCCTCTTTTTCACTGTATTGTGTTTGATATTATTTTTTATAGCACATGTTTATATGAAAATTTAGTCATCATCAGCAATGAAAACTCTTACTAAATCATGCTTTTCAAGAAAAGTACCTTGTTATTTAATGGAACTTCTGTAAGAAAGCTGGTTGTTGACGAATGTTTTATGTGGAAAATGAGATGTCTCTTATCTGTCGGCAATTTATTTTGAAAGTACAACCTTTTTCAGCCCGAATTTTGTTGAATTTACCAACAAAATTACCAAACCGTAAAGTAAAACTCAACAGTTTTGGACATCTCATTTGTACAAACAAACGTGTTTTATCGGCACTTCTACCGTATTGGTACGCACTAGTGCAGAACGCGTGCGTACTAGTGCCAGATTAGTAAGTTTTTCTGCACTAGTGCACATCGATGTGGTACAAGTACCGAGAATATAATAAAGAAATTTTTTCGTTTCAGCACGGTGCGTATCCATGCCAAATTTCGTTTGTAATCACGATTTTCTCTTGTCAACGCATGTCACCAAATCGAAAAATTTTAAAAGTTTCTTTGGTTAAAACCGATTTCAGATTCGTCTTTTCCATAGTTGATTATCTTGTACGCAATAGCTTTTGGATCACGGACCTTCAAACGATGTCGAAAAATTTTTCTGAAGTACCCTGATCCAAAAGTTATTGCGTACAAGATAATCAACTATGGAAAAGACGAATTTGCAATCGATTTTGATCGAAGAAGGTTTTAAAATTTTTCGATTTGGTGATATGACTGCGTATATAAATACTACCGTATACCTCTAGTATTTTGAATGTCTTTTTGACTTCGTCTTCTCCTTGTCCATACGAGAAATGCCGACGAGGTGGCATATGATTGGATGGCAATGTGGAATCTTTATCTATATCAGTGCCATACTTTAACTAATACAAACTTAAGTAAAATCAGACATAATTACTGACTAAATAAATTTCAGTACTTCTTTTGTAGATACAGCATCGACAAGCGACACTGAATAATATCAATGAATAATATCCATCGTTTTTGAAGTAAAAAGTCGACATTGTCTGGTATCGATGCCAATTCAGCATGGTTGATATCGTGACACATGGCCTGGCTTCCACACGGGTGTGCATCGTCGACTCCAGTCATTTTTTTCTGTAGAGGAGTGATACATTACTTTGCACAGAAAATATTTGTTGGCAATTATGTTTTTTACACAAATTCCATTCAAACATCAACTAGCACAGTTACTTCTGTCATATAGTACCGTTACGTAAGAATGCTCATCCATCGTCATTATGGTAAAAAGTTTAGATTACAATCGGATGTGTTTTTCTCTTTTTCTTTTAGTTTAGTTTTAGATTTCATTCCTAAATGGCATTCAACCCATATAGTAAAATCGATATGAGAAATAATAATTTCTGCTTCAATATGTTCGACGTTTGTCTTTTTGATTTACATATTATTTTGATAACAGATCTGTTATGTTTGATGCTATTTCAGGTAAATAAAAACTTAAAAATAGAGTAAACCTTTTAATCGTTCAGTTCATATATGCTTTCTTTACAGCTGCAATCTTCAATTTTTCTTTGTACAGTTACACTCTGTGCTCAATCTACTTCTTGTAAAATCGGTACAGCTGACACTACTTTGAGAAAATGATTGTAGCTATGCTATTAAAGCTTCTTCGAACGGAAAACTAAGCTGATTTTCATAAAACTATGTCGACTGTTGCTAATAAATGACACATTTACCAGTTATCAAATATTAACGGTAGATAGAAAAAATGATTTTTTTCTGCTATTCAGATTGATCACAGTTGAAAATACTTTAATTATGAGTTGTTCAAATCACTGTGTTTCAGATTTCAAGTGGTCATACGACAAATGAGCAGATGAACATTTTGTGAAATACTAATGAATCATTTTATATGTCTTATATATATAATTATTTCTAATCTCATTAAAATGCTGAAGAACAGTGAGAATGTTTTTACTTCGATTTCGTTTTTTAGTATTCTTCAGAATTTAATCAATTAAATTGATTATAAAATATGTTATGAACTAAACAGATTAACTCAACGGTACGATTAATTGTTTTACTTAGTAGACGAAAAATGTGTGTTTAATCGATTAAACTTCTTTTTTTTTCTGTCAAGTGTTAAAACAAAATCATTCTTTCCTATGTACGCAATTATACATCTTGTTTAATTGTTTCTTTGTACATAAGTCGCAACTAACTTCCCTGTGTTTCTAGACAGTTTGCAACGAATTAAACATACTACAATCACGTTGCTTCAAGAATGTCAGCGTTTTTCGATACAAGTTTTGGTAGACGGTGGAAAGTCTGCTGAGTAACTGAAGTTTTTTTGAATAACGAATGTTCTGAGTTAAATTTTTTTCTGAGTAACTGCATTTTTTAACCTAATTAAAGACTGAAAATGGGGGAGTCGATTGCCACTCCCTAATCGAAAACGCTAAAGAATGTTACAGTTAAATTTTCTGTTTGTTGTAACTTTTTAAAATTTGTTTTGATGGTATGTGCAGTTTGTTAGATTTTTAGATAATTTCATGTTATTCGCTGATTCCATAATAGTAGCGTATAAATTTACGTTTATTATTATTGACAGGTTTAGTGTTGTGAAATGAGATGTATGGTTGTATGACTGAAATATCCATGTAATTTCTACTGAATAATAAATAAATAAGTTTGATCTTTATATGTAAACATACTCATACAAAAGTTTTTTCTTTCTCTTTAGATCGACATATATAACAGAAAAAAAAAAGAAACAAATATTAAATAATTCATTTTTATTGTTCATTTATTATCTCGTTGTTTTGTCCTTATCAGGTTCTTTGTTTGTACATGAGTCATAATGTCTTCTAAACATAACAATATCAAATTATATCGAATTAAACGACCTACTGTACAACTTGAAACAGATGTTAAAGATACTGTACGTAAAATGCCAGTTGTATTGACAGATGAACAATTAGTTCGTTTAAAACAACATGAGTATGCATCAGAAGGTAACACGTTATTTGATCCATTTATGGAAAAATTTTGGACATGGCTAGTTCAATATTGTCCACTTTGGATGGCACCTAATTTAATAACGATTCTTGGATTAGCGTTAAATATTGGAACAAGTATATTATTAATAGTGACAACACATGAAGCGAAAGAATCGGTAAAGTTGTCTGTCTAATGTAGTGAATGTACTAGCAGTATGAAGATTGACCACTAATAATCCTCAATATTTTATCTGTTATGAAATTAGATCTTTTATTTTCATAAATTTGATTGATTTGAATTTCGGGATTTAGATCGAAATAAAAAAAGAAGCTAATACTATTATAACTTGCAACTCGATTTTAAAGGCCTATTATTTTAGTGTTCTCGATGGATGTATATATTTACAGCATTTGGATTATTTTTTTATCAATCACTAGACCCTGGAGAACAAGCTAGAAGAACAAATTCTCAATCGCCGTTAGGAGGTATGAAAGTAATTAACTAGAAAAAAGTGAAATATGACAATATTATTCAAAATTTTAGAGCTTTTTGATCATGGATGTGATTCAGTGTCTGCTAGTGAGTAAATTATAAGGCATATATTTAATTTTTTATTATACACTTTTGTTATATTTTAGTTTTTGTTACAATAGCCTGTTGTTGTGGCATTCAATTGGGTGTATATCCTTGGTTAATGTTTTGGTGTTGTATATTATCCTATTTTGCATTTTATTGTGCCCATTGGCAAACCTATATTTCTGGTAAACTTCGTTTCGGACGGTAATAATCTCTTAGTAAGTAGAGAGAATTATTAATAACTTATTTTGATTTCAGACTAGATTGTACAGAAACACAATTTAGTTTTATTACTTTCTATATAATTAGTACCATATATCCAAACTTCTGGACTATATCTGTATGTATATTAAGTTCATTCTAATAAAAACCAATGCTTAGTTAGTTTATTTTTTCTGCATTTTAGATTCCATTTGTTCAGCTAGACTTTCGTATACTCGCTGCATTACTAATAATCGGTTCTACACTTTGGAGTTCATATAATAATTGTAAGAGAATATCAGAAGGTGGATGTGGAATAGAGGGCTCATCTGTTGCTGTGAGTAGAACTAAATTAATTGTGAATCCTTCGAGTTAAAGAGCTAATTGACTTCTTTAAGAATAGTAAATAAAAGGATTAAACATTTTTTGAGAAAAATGTGGCTGTTTTTCATTAACAAAGATTAGTTAGTATATTTAGCCACATCTAAGTTTTGCAGAGGTGCAGAATCTTACGTTTGCGCAACCGGCCGGTTGTGGAAAAATTTTGAAAAAATGTCTTTACTGTGGAAATTTTTAATAAGGAAAAAATTTTTCGGTTGTGGAAATTTCTGGATTTTGTGTAAGGTTCTGCACCTCTGAAGTTTTGTCTGCTTTTCTTCAGAGCTCCGCTTTTCTAGTAGATTATTAACCCTTTACCCCTGGCAGTTGATCTTACAAAATGAACTTGAAATTGTCATAACTCTGCTTATACTCGAAGAGAAAAAATTTTCTTATTAACAATGACTAGCTTATAGTGTCAGCTTACACCAGAAAAACAATCCATTTTTTTGATTCGACGCATCCTCATCTTATTATAGCGATTCTACGATGTCCTACTAATATCCATGCCTGTGGACATCCGGTGGTAAAGGGTTAGGCTTTCGCTAAGCTCCCATAATATCATGCTTTCTCTTTTTCTCTGGAACATGAGTATCTACATACCTGTCTCCGTCTAGTTTACTTCACTTTATCTTTGTGCTAGACGTTGATAAACAAACATCAACGTCATATATTGAAAATTTTCTGCGGAAAATTTCAAGCATTGTGTGAAGAACCCTTTCTCGGTTGCTGATCTTATTGGACTTCGAGCTTATGGTGCTGACTGATTTATATATTTTAACGTGATTAAAAGTAAACATTTTTTTTCTGGTTTAACTTAGTTATTGATAGTAAAATCTCATCCGATTTTGCTAACACATTGGATTAAATACTAAGAAAAATCGTCTATATAATAAACATATGGATTTTAAATTATATTTTTGTTGGTTTTTTTAGCAAACTAGCATTGTATTTCCAGCTATTCCAATATTTATCTTAATTGTATTCAGTTTAATCACTGCAAATAACTCAAAAACACATCTATTAGAAAAACATACATCTTTATATCTTCTTGCATATGGAATTGTATTTTCAAAATTTACAAATCGACTTATTGTAAGTAGAATGACTATTTCATGGCTATATCATTTAAATTTTAACTATCTTATTTTAAGGTTGCTCGTATGTCAAGAAGTGCACTAAATACATTCGATAGTTCCTATGTTGGACCACTAGTCTTATGTCTAAATCAACTTTTTAATGTAACAAGCCATGAATATATCATTCTATGGTTATTTTTAGTAAGCTCATATATTTGAACTAGAGATAAAATATCGAATTCTTTTTGAAACTGATATTACTTTATGTTAGGTTATCGGTAGTTCTGCTAAATGTACATAGAAGATCTAGTGAACATAATGATTTTAAACATTTAGATAATTTTATTTAGATTTAGTTACAAGTGAAGAAAACTATTGGTCAAACGATTGACTAGTCACCCTTCCAAAATTAAATTTTTTACAATTACATTTATAACTGAATTCTTTTTCTTTGGAAATATGACCAAAAATGTTGTATTCGTACTGTTGGATAGAAACTCTTCTTTTCTGTCTTAAACTTATTACGGACTAATGCGATCAGTGTAATGTTGTTGACTCTTCTGTGTATCTGATAAAAATTGTGAACGATGAGATCTGACGTAGAATATTTAATTATTAAAATTATAACTATTTAGTTAATTTGTTTTGCTGTTTCAGGTCTATTCTGTATTTGATTTGCTGAGGTACAATATTAAAGTGTGCCAAGAACTATGTGATTTTCTCAATATATCATGTTTTCGAATAAACCCATTATCAGTACCAGTGGCACCACAATAATAACATTTTTCATCATCCACACAACAGCATAGAAGTTGAGAGAGAGCGTGTGCTTTTTATTACTTTTAAAATAGCTCTTTTTGTTTTTTCTATTTTTGAACATTTTGTCAGTAAGTCTATTTCTCTTGGATGTTTATTTTTTGTATCCAATATTAGGAGAAAAAAAAGCAAGTAATCTTACTCTTATTCTTGTTTGTCTATTCTGACTCGTTTTCGTCAAATGAGTTTGGATGTACGAGAAGTTAGAGCATACCGGAAAGAAAAAAATGTCAAAAAGTACCATAGCACACTAAAAAAGATTATCGTATATCTAAGGATACTGTTTGTCTCCCATACTTTTATAAATATGATTGCATTGAAATTGATTATAGTAGGTTGGTTTTTTTCGTATACAGGCACATGAACATTTCAATGTAAAGGATAAGATATACATTTAGATAGAGTACACTTACTGTTCTGAAAGATAAGTTTGACTTTTCTGAGGAATTTATCTGGTAAGTATTTAAGCAGTTTTTGTAAGTTTATAAACATTTTGCATAGTGAAATACTTATTGTAGAGTGAAATTGGTAGCAAGTATAACTTCTTTAATGATCAGTTGCTTCTTCAAACACATTTTTTACACGTTCTACACTAACTACACAGCAAAATAATACCTTCATTTCAACTATTGTTCATTATTACATTATTTTAATTCATCATATCTGTTCATTACATTTAGAAGGTATCAAAACAAAATAATATGTATAATCCTAACTTTTGTTTTCCGTTCTGTTTCTTTTTTATGTCTTTCTTAACTTTTATGTCTTTCGTCATCAATTATTATCATATTAAGTTTTTTAGTTTTGCAGTGCAAACAAGAGAAAAAAGAGATAAGTCCAGTATACATATTCAACACATATGCGAATAAATAGTAGCGACCATAAAGCGTTGGAGGACTCGTTTTGTTTCATCGAGTAAACAAGAAGTACATAAGAATTTCACACATACACTGCGTTTATCTTGCAGACAGTGTTTTTTTTGCTATAAAACTGCTGATGTTCACATTTGCGTATGTTCTATGTATGACAGATGTTTACTGTATAATTACCGTTATTTTTTTTAGATATATATTTTGAAATAAGCATGTAAAGAATGTCTGAAATTATTAGCTCATCTAATGATCAACCAACAACATTTGAACAAGCATTAGCTCGTTATTTAGAATACAAAGAACGTTTTGAAAAGATTGAAAATGATTATGATGAATTTCAAACATCTTCGTTAACATATGAACAAGAGTTAGAGACTCAGTTAGAACAGTTGACACAGCAAAATCGTCGTTTCCAATCAGAATTATTTCAGGAACGTGCAACAAATGAACAATATCATGAGAGAACAGAACAAACTTTAAAACAATATGATAAACGAATAGACCATTTACAAAACGAGTTACATGGAAAAAATAATTTAAATGAGAAGTTAACCGCATATATTCGAGAGTTAGAACAACAAAACGATGATTTAGAACGAGGAAAACGAACATTAGCGGTTAGTTTAGAAACGTTTGAAAAACAATTAAATCAAGCATTAGAACAAAATGCACTGTTAGAAAATGAGTTGGACGAAAAAGAACAGGTAACTGAATGTGTTATTGATATTTCATTGATTAACATCGAATAACTCTATATTTTCAGCTAACAGAAACAGTACAACGATTGAGAGATGAAACAAGGGATTTAAGAGAAGAATTAGATGTATTACATAAAAACAAACAACCACCCACTGCAACGAACAATGATGAAACAATTAATAGTAGTAGAATGAAAAGTATTCTAGATACTACAACAACAACCGTAGCGGAAAAAAACTCGCAACCAAATCATCCAGGTAAACAAGGTCTGATGTAAACAGTGCTGAAATAATTAATATTTATCTTAAAGCGTTTGAATTTTATAGCTGCATGAATCAAATTACTTGACCTTTTCCGTTTAAATTCCGCCTTTAAATTATCACAAAAATTCTTTTCTCTAGAATAATCTGTAAATCTTTTCTGTAAAGTGACAATGGAGTGAATTCTAGGTTAATGTAATGGGAGTAAGCATGAGTACGAAACGCGTGTGAAATATATCGTCGAGATCAAATGTAACATACTTTTATCATGTGTGAAAATGAACATTGTGTACACAAAAGGTTTTATAAGCTATCAAAATTTAATATTAGCCTTTTCTGAAAGAGTATTTCAGTCGCTTTCATCTTATCATTAACAGGAACTTTTCGCGTATGAACCGTTTGTCTTTAATTGTTTGTTTTTTTGTAGATTTCTACAATGGCGAGCAACAGTCCAAATTAAGATCAACATCATTGTTGAATTATGATAGAAATGGTTATTCCTCTAAAAAACCGTTGACCACACCATCAATGATAAATACAGAATTCACAAAAATTGTTATACCAACATCATTTTCATCTTCAAAGATATCCAATGTGTCATCACAAACCGATGGTAGCTCAGGAAGCACAAATGGAGGTCTGTTCGGTGATATATCGACACCTATAACTATTAGTACAAGAATCCATGCGTTGAATATGATATCAGAAGCATTTCGCCGTTTTACAGCGATTGAAGCAACATTAGCTGCACAACGAAAAGCTTCACATAGACCACGTGTAAATTCAGCAGTACCATTGAAACAACAACAGAACAATTGTGTAAATAATAATGAAACAACAACGTGAATATTAGAGATTTTTTAAAATGTCAGACTGTTCTATTGTAATTTTTTTTTTATCTTTATATTTGACTCAGATAGATTTTACACTGATAAATTGTTCTTTTTTTTGATCGCCAGTTTTTGACTAGTTTCTAATATTCATGTAATGTCTTCTGATGTGAAATAATACTTATTTTTACTTTGTCTTCATACAGTTAGTTTTGATTTTTGGCTTTTGGCTTTTTTATTGTTTCATTTTGAAAAAATGAACGTGTCAACGAACAAAGAAAAGAAGAGAAATTGTCTAATCATCATTTATAGTTGATTGTTTTTATTTTGTCTTCTTTTTCTTTTCATATATTTTAAAAATTATTTATACCATAATACAAGATCTAGACAGTTCCGGGCCTGTCTTGGACCAATATGACTGATAATGTTACTAAAAGGAGTATTCATCACATAACAGCCTCTAAAGTTATTTGTTTTGATTAAATGAATCATTTTTAAATAGATCAATTTAATTTCTTTTTACGATAAAATATTCATTTGAACAATGTAAATGATTTATTTTTCTGATGCGTATGTTTGATTATTTAATAACACAATGTAAGATCAATCTTTTCCTCGGCTATAAGTCTGGTGCGCATAGACAATATATTGTACAAATGTAACACGCGAGTCATTGCTGTATGCGTTAAACTATCATCCAAGATCTATGTGGTCTAATACGTCGTGACTCACATGAACCCTTTCTTGTTAATCCAAGTATTATCCTCTAAAACCAGGGACGAAGAAGGCTATAAGTGAGATCCATGATCAACGTTTTCCACTGTTTTTGTCACTCGGCTTGTTCGCAGGTAACGCGACGACGCATTTTCAGCGTCAATGTTTATTTTTTCACACTTTTAGGCAGTAGTCAAAACAAATATTGTACTGTTTATTACATCTCGATAGCTTCTATTCTAGCTTCTTTTCTAAATGGTGTTAAACGTTTCGAGTTACTGCTTATCATTCAAATACTACAGCGTTTATACGGTCGGTAATATGATGATCAAAAATGGAAGTTCTTTATAGTGGTAGTTGAAGAGTTCTGATTTTTCTCTAAATGTAACTGATATTGATAAAAGTGTCCATTCGATGGTTGTTAGCTATAACGTAGGGCTTTTGAAACATCAAATCAAAATTTTAATCAAGAATTTGGTTGTTCATCTACAAATCAAAGTTATGATAACGCTTAAAAACTTCAATCGTTTGAGCAGTAAACTTGGTTATTTCTTATTCTTGTGGGATTTAACATCGCTAATGCAGTAGACATTTCGAGATTTATTGTATACATTTAACCAAAGCAGAGAAACCTAAAGAATACTGTAGCAAATCCAATGGAGTCCAGAATGGGTACAAGATATTTCTACCGAGCACAATAAACATAGCCTACAACACCTTACTTCTGGTTGATTTATGTTTACGATCTCCTGGTTTTTAAAGACGGCACACTGCTTTCATCAATAGTTTTTGTATCTATTCCCATTTTGAATTTTCAACGGATCATGTTGATTATTAACAATATAATGTCGTCACAACACTGTTGCTATTAATTATGGGACGAGAGTTGCGAATGATGCTATTAAAAATGAAAAATAACATTATCATCATTCTTATTTTTAATACTTGGTACATGTTTAGCTCTAATTAGAAAATAATGTTGCATATCATTGTGAGTTAACTCTTGCATAAATGACCAAATGAGTGTAATACGGATTTTTGAAAAAATAAATTTTGTGTTGACGATGCTTGTTTTTTCGTTTATAAGTTTGTGATGATTGAACAACGATAATAATTCATTAAAATATACTTGTCCCAAAAAATTCTGATAATGTCCGCAACGTAAATCAGCAGGAATGGGCGAATCCGGAGCGGTACCGAGTCCAAGTCCTTAACATTAAGGTCCGAGTTCGAGTCCGGTAATCCATTAGATTCTTTTTTGATGATTGGGGTTTATTTTTTTTTTATTTTCTGTGCCATTTAATACATTAATCTTGTAGAAACAGAAAAAAGAAAGTTTCGAAATATCAACACTCAAATTCAAGTCCGAGTCCACCGAAAAAATCTTCCAGTCCAGACTCGGACTCACCCAATCCTGCAAGCTAGAATTGTCTACTATATGACGATGTGATGGAGAGTAAAACCCCAATACAAATGTCATATCACTACCAATTCTTTTACAGCAAGTACCACTTAAGAACTTAACAGTTCTATCTATTTAGTATTACACAATAGCTTCTCTAACACAGTGTGAGAATATGAGAAAAGATACTTTTGCTATTAGACCAGAGTATTCAAATTCATCTACCTAGCCGATTTTGATCATAATCATCATCTCTAAGAGAGATGATGACTGAACGGTTGGTTATTTAGTTAAATGTTCTTATCCTCTCCGCGTTGAACACATGCGTATACATCCATTACATGGCTCCTTGTGTCTGCATAAAAAATCGACGACTTTTATCGACAGAATATATATGAGGTGAAATAAAATGATGTGTGTACTCAAATTTGAACCAATAATGTGTAGTTTACAGTGAATCGATTGCTGTCGCTTTTCTTGCGTTCTTCTATTGTTCATCATCCATTGTGTCCGTTTCATTCTGTTCAAAAAACACTTTACGAAGAAAAAAATTTTATTGTTTTAAAAATTTCGTGCCGAAAATATTTTGTAACAGAAAGAAAAACACAATGGTGGATAACAAAAAGAAGAATCTGTTGCACAAAAAATCACCAGAAAAATCTATATCCGGCAAAGTTTATGCAGCAGAAAAATTATTGAGACGGCGACGATGCAAGGTAAGATGGAAATTCAGATGTCCACTTAAAAAAAGTAATCATGAGAACTGAAAGATTTGATTTTTCTTAATTCAAAGATAGAATACAGATCTACCAGATCATCCATGTAATATATTTTCAACAGCGCATCTTTTTCGAAATAAATTCTGATTCGAAGCTACTTGAACACAGTTCGGTGGCACTATAAACAATTCTTGGATGAATGCTGCACTACGTCTTTAAACAGATTCATCTCATTGCATCCAGAATACCTGGACAAAGATCCAAGAATCGTTTATAATGCCACGAAACTGCGTTAAAGTAGCTTCGAATCAGAATTTATTTCGAAAAAGATGCGCTGTTGAAAATATATTACACGAATGATCTGGTAGATCTGCGTCCTTGTCAGATACAAGTATAATCCTTGTTATATGTGCCACTCCTGTCCCCATCAGGGTGTGATCTTTGACATGACACGTATAACAATGTCACGTTATACTTATTACATAACAGTCCTATCTCTGAATTTTCAATAGAAATCTCCCTCAGATAATATAAGTAAAAATGTAAAATTTACGTCGACTCGAGTGTATTTCTCAAAGAAAAGATGCAAACTCTTCGTGTTCATCATCTCATTCCAGAATAAAGCGTGAGACAGCGGAAGACAATTTCAATCTTGAAACTGCTAGCAGTTACAATTCAACAAGATCTGAAACTGACCTTTGGATGAACTATAATTGCTGATAAGTCCAAATATAATGCATATCTCATATAGAGCAGAAAGACTTAGCAGACTAGAGCAGACTCCTTAACTTGAAGATCTTTGACAAAGTTGTTTTGGTTTTTTCTATGTATTTGAGTCCTCTCACGGAACAAAACGTTATGATAGAGAGACACAAGATAAGATTTTCGAAGATTTTCAGTTTCTGTGATGTAGCGAGATAAATAAAACTCAAATACTTAAACAATCAAGCATGTTCTAATTTATTCAAAAAAGGATAAATATATAAAGATGAAAGTATGTGCCAGATTTTTAGTATTATTCTGAAAAATGCTTTGTATTATAGCTGTTTTCCTGCTGTCTATTGTAAATTCGTGAATTATTTATTTTAGGGAAAAACGGAATACTTAGTTAAGTGGAAAGGATGGAAAACGAAACATAACACATGGGAGCCAGAAACGAATATTATCGATAAACGATTGATAGATCATTTTAAGAAACAGTAAGTGTAATTGATTTTTGTTATTGTTGTTTCTTTACTGGCAGTCTCAGAAGCAGGGCAACAAACCTTTCCAAGTTCATGATTATTTTGTGAACGTCTCAACAATTAATCTATTAGTCTTTTATTTCGATCGTGATCTGCGAATGTACATGAAATATCTGCAGTATTTCTTACTGTTCATAAATATACTAACACAGAAAAGTTAGTAGTTCTTGTCCGTCATTTTTCATTTCTCTCATTTTAGTCGAGTTTCATCTCATCCAAGAAGGATTCTTAAGGTAACATTGGTTTATTACTAAAAGTCTTTGACTGATTATATTAGAATTCTATCTTTTGTCAGATTGAACCGAGTGAAGAAGAAGACAACGCAGTCATTGACGAACCGTTGTGTCATATCAGATCAGAAAAAAAACCAGATTCTATTTCAAATAATAATATTCCTGAAACACTGGAGATTAATAACAATGATAACCATAATAATGACGACATCAACGAAGATTCAGAAACAATAACTCCTACTTACACATCTCTTGAATTTTGGCATCCAAAACCGAATGAGCAAAAATTTGCGATTACAGATGTTGTATGTAACGATGTGACAGTAACCGTACGCGAATATGTAAATCGAACTTGATAAGATATATCGCTATCTGATCCTATATTTTATTTGAGTTGTATATATTCTTCAATTTTATATGTAGTTCTATAATATTAATGTTTTTCTTTTATAGAACCTGTAGCGGGGCCCAGAGGCAGTTAAATGTTTTTGAAAGAAGTAATGATGGATCTTTGAATTTTAATGAAATGTAGAGGAAAAAGGACGTTATGGAGAATTTGTACTTGCCGAGAGATCAAAACTTCGAACCTTTCGTAGATTAGCAGCACATAGGTGATTGTCATTGTCCAAACATTATCTTGTTTGGGATTTTGAGGATGTTTGGAAGGTTTGAGGGATGTCGATTCAACGACTAAACACACAACTATGCAGATTATGAGAGCTTTAAAGCACAGACCAACACCCTGAAAACTATTCACAATTATGAGAACAATTTTGAACTACTTATGGATGTTACAAATAACATGAGTGTGAATAAATGACTGTGGTAACTATGTGCCGTGAGAAGGAAAGAGAAAAGAGAACATTCCTAAATAACGACGTCGGTCTGCAACAGAAAACAGAACTAAAAAGTAACTATATGTAGAATGCTGAAAACGAGAATGACCAAATGCCAAACGAAATTTGTCTTTGTCGAGAGAACTTTAATTTTAAAATGAACCATATCGCCATTGCTCTTATCGTTAAATGAAAGTTTAGATCTTTTTTTTGCGTGTTAAATTTAAGAAGATTTCATCTGTTTTTTGATGGTTAAAGCACCATTATCCATTTCAAAATATAATGCCCGGATGTTTTTTGAATAACTTGGAAACGAAAGGTGATAGGGAGATGTGGTTTTTACCATCTTGTAGAAGATACTTTACTGCATCTTTTCATATATGGGGGCTTTCAAAACCTCGATTTTCAGATGGTGCACCTCTCGGGTGAAAAAATAAGAGATCACGAGCTGCTGAAACCAAAATGAAATTTTCTCTTAAATTACATGGTTAGACAGCCCGAAGTCTCCTCTTCAGAGTTATCCAAGTTTCAGATCATCAGCTGCCTTGGTTTTCCGACAGTAAAGTTTTTGCTGGGACCTACCTATCTCGGTCCGGTAGACTCCTGCGGAGCAGCCCCGAATCCCATCCCGTCCTGCCTCGAATCCCATCCCGTGGGAAAGACGGGGTCGGGACAAAAAAATTTACGGACTTGGGGCAAGAAAAAAATTTCACGGGCTCGGGCTTACGGGATCGGGACAAGTTGCAGAAAAATATTGTCTCGTAAGTTTTGTCTTTTGATTGTAATTATACTGCAACTTCAAATATTTAATTCTTGTAATATCGGATGACCCCGAATAAATGGCCCTCCTCATATACTTATCATTTTTTTTCTTTTCAACCCTTAGACCTGATTGTTTTTCCAAAAGATGCGCCGTCAAATTCTGTACAAAACTTGATCAAACTTATTTCTATAAAAAGTTAAGGAGAAAAATGAAACGAAAAATATTCAACATGACGAAAAGACCAACTTTCTAAGCCATTTTGTTTTATTACCCCAATTATTATCAAAATAATTTTTCAAAGTCTAAATTTGTATCATCGGCTGCAATCAAAGAGAACGAAATCATATATTTTGGTGGTCGTGCAGCATTTCATTTCAATCTGTTTACATCGTTTACATCAAATCTAATTTTTTGTCATTCGTCATTCAATGGTTTTATCAATGCATATAACCGTACAATTGAACTAATTCAAAAATATGATTCAAATCAAAAAATATCAGTGAAAGATCATCGTTTAGATCCAGAATTATTCCAGAATACATGGTTGATGGTTGAATTATGTTTTTCCAAAGTCTAAATTTGTATAAAGTCGAAAAAATTGACAACCAGTTGATTTTTTTGAAAACTGTTCTTGTTTATTTAATGTAAAGTGTGTTCTTTAGGAAGATGGTGATGTACGTTATTTAGGGGATTGATTATTACAATTAAATTAAACGCTGTCTTTATCTGTTTACGCGATATTTGTTCGGAATGACTAGCATACCAAGCCGTTGATGATTGGGATTGATTCCGACTGTATCGGAATTCTTAAGATGAAATAAAATTAAATAAAACGTGGCACTTGTCGGAAAATTGTAAGAACGAAATGCATGTTTAAAATGGTGAAATACGAGAACATTCTTTCACAAATTTGTGTGTCGACATTTTTAAATAATCCATTATGTGTTTGATGATCACAATTCATTTCATTTCGACACATTTTTCCTTGTATGGTTTTCTTCGGTTTGGCCTGGTGAACTTTAAAATCCCACTATAGTGGAGGTTAAAATTTGATTCTCAAGAGGATACTTTGAATGATCTGTCGATGAAGTAAATCAAAAGTATTTACACCTGAAGTTTTTGAGTTATGAGTTGAGTTTTCAACGATCTTCTCGACAATCTACTTTAAAAAAGTATTTTGAAATTAACATCTATTATAAAAATGTGGTAAATCAATGTGGTTTATGGTATTAAAGTTAATCAGCCTGTTTTTACATATGAACAACTGTTCAGAAAATCTGTAAACATTTCTTTCCTTTCCATTCTTTTACTATGTTGCTTTCCACCCTAGTAGAGATTGAAATATGAGCGTTAGTCATTTTTGCCTAGTCGAATTTAAAATCCCACTATAGTGGAGATTAAAATTTTATTCTCCACTAGTTGAACTTAAAATTTCAATTTCCACTGGCAAGAATCCAGTGAAAATTGAAATTTTAATTTCCACTATAACATATATCTAGAGTTTCGAAGCGTTGTAGTCGTCAAACTAATAGTGGGATGAAGAACAATTTTACATCTATTTTAAGTTTTTCCGGAATTTTATCGATAGTAGATCCAGCTTGATTCAAATTCAAGATGCACACACTATTGGAACATCGTGGACAAATTCTCTTTTTTTGATTTTTCCTGGGTAACCACAATATGCGACTAACCTAAGGTGAAAAAAGCAGACAAATAAGGTTTTGGAAGAGCCACTGTGCGGCTTTTCAAAGGTTTTCTTTGGAGACTTTATATTTTAAACCAGTGTTATGGTAAAATCGATAGATTTCAACTACTAAGCTTCAGATTTCAAAATGAGAAAAATCTGACATTTTGGAGGCGTCATGAAAGGGAGAAATCATTAGTGCACCTCTACCAAGGTACGTACCTTTATTTTTTTCTGTTTTATCTGTTTCTGGTACAAAGACAGTAAGATCATTGAGGTAATGCTCTCCCGGATATTGAAAAGTTTCTGTCCAATAAGCTATTATCGCTCCACATTTTAGCGAGATATAATCTTCTTCAAATTTCTCTGAATACGGAAAATACGTTGTCCGATTACCTCTTCATACAGCTATAAGCAATAAGGCAAAAGACAATACTTCTGGGTGATGGAACAGTGATGGCAGACTTTACCTCAGCGACAATTCGGTAGTTTTCATTGAACGTATCAATTGTGGACAACAATTTTTTCCAGGAGGATGGTACTGACTGACGGATTTGGACCTCTAGATTTGTTTTACAAAGTTAAAAACATTCTCATCCATACTACCTACAGAGTGAGCTTTGTTCTTGAGAATAAGTAATCCACAATCTAAGTTAGATGTGGTTGTAATGTTGTATGTAACCCCTAAAGATAATTTTCAAATTATACATGAGTAATTGGAAATCAGTTCATTTTATATTCGACAAATACCTCTCAAAAAAATCCATTTATACCGTATTTCCAGCTATTAATATCTACATCTCCAATTCGAACAATGTATTTTGAAACACTATATATTTAAAACAATTGAACATAAGAATATTAAGCAAAGAACATTGCTGACATTAACATAAAACTCTTTTTTCCTTTCGCACACTTCTGTGTGTTGCTTGTCTTTTAATTGTACTAACAGCCATTTTTAATCTGGAAAACACAGGTATTAACAGTTTTTGCGTTAGCATTCATCTGTTTCGAATGGTAAATGCAAGTACTCGCTCATAGACTGTTGCATTTTTTGAGTTAGATCTTTCACCGAGTTTCCTTACTGGTCTTTCATTCATTCATTCTTAGTTTTCAACGTCTGGAGCATATTCTAAAAGTTCGAAATCACTTAGAGATTTAAGAAGATATGGATGTTTGCTGATGAGTCCAATTGAGCGACCATGTTCTCTGCTGCTGTTGTGCTGAAAAATGTGAATAGAGAGATGTTTTTGTTTTTCGTGTTATTGTGGGAAACCAGCTACTGGTTCTTTCACTACGTGGAGTTTGACAGAATCACACGGCTAATTTCGCGCGTTAGTGGGGCACCCTGCTGCCTATCAGCATAGGTAATTGCGCTCTTCGAATCTCGTTTTTTGTATGGCATGTTTTGTCTGTTCTTTTTCTTTCTATCGGATCTCTGCGAAGCT